TTGATTGTTTATTCGATAATATATTCAAGTAGGGTCAAAAACTGTATTCCTGAACCTTAGACAAAACATTTACAATGCTGAATGTATTTAAGCTGTACAAAACTGATTATCGAACATTGAATTATTTACTGAACTTCGTTAAGGTCAACAGTGACTAACGTTTATTAGCCCCCAAATGCCCTGGTACGGCCGAGAGTGAGGAGAGTTCGCTCTCCCTCTCCAAATGCTCTCACATAGCCACGCGTTGTTGTTTACGAAAATGAGAGGACGAAAAGCGAATGTCCGGCACTTTAACCGGATCCCAAAACAATGGTGCACATGGGATCCAGTATCCTGAAGGAACAAATGACGTATGAACCAATCGTTGGTCACCGGCTACCATGGGACTGCATCTCCTCATGATGATCCACTGTCTTGTGGGTCAGACGTTCAGGTCGAAGGCTCGGGGTGTGGCCCACTAAGACAACCACCTGGTTCGGTTTGGGCAACCGGTCAGTATCACAGCCCTCACACATATCAATTGAGATTCGTGTGGCGCATATGTATTTGGTGCCTCCTTGTGCCAATACCTATGTGTTAAAATAAATAAAATAATAAATAATGGATAACATGGTTTCGATATGTGAAGCAATCAAGTCTTAGTTTATATACATGAACTCTCATGAATGGTTCTTACTGTATAAATCCTTTCACAATGAAATTCTTAATACTTACAAGTATTCTATGAATGCTGAATGGTCTAGCTGTCAGATTACAATAGATTGATCCAATCAATTATTCGCATAATGTAATTTCAATCTAAGATTACGTAAGTTAAACAGTTACATCATGCATATTTAACGTTAATAGATATTGTCAATCAATATCAAAGTCAGAATCTTCAATACCAACGTTAAGACAGTCAGTTCTATTGTGCGGAGATGAAACTTGGAGAACTACTACAAACATCATCAAGAAGATACAAGTATTTATAATTAGCTGTTTACGCAAGATACTCAACTTCCATTGGTCGGATACCATCAGCAACAGCCTTTTGTGGGAGAGAACCAACCAGCTTCCAGCTGAACAGGAAATTAAGAAAAGACGATGGAAATGAATAGGACATACATTACGCAAATCATCAAACTGCATCACGAGGCAAACCCTAACATGGAATCGTGAAGGTAAGTGGAAAAGAGGAAAGCCAAAGAACACGTTACGCCGGGAAATAGAAAACATCAACGATTACATAATATGAAATAGTTGGTATAATTATGTAAATGGTTAACAGAAGAAAAGAAAAATGGTAAACATAAAGTATTCTTAAGATCATTTATTCAGTTTTAAACATCTTTTAGGTTGACCAACTAGAACCGTTGACTTGAATTGCTACAGATTCAGTTACATGTAAGATACGTAATCGACTCCTAATTGACAAATAAGGACGATGGTTTATAAGCCACTGTAAACAGTTTTTTCTGTCTATCATGTGACTACTATAGACTAAGTATGGTAGTGAACTAGAACACAAGTGGGGATAATCGAATGTAATTGAAAACAAAGATACAGAATCTCTTAGTAAGATCTAAGAACTATACAGTAAATACTTCATTTGTAAAATGTTAATCAATCATCTCAGACTTCACTATACCTTCATTACTATAGAAACCATTCTGTTTTCTTCGATCTTCTACCACCAGGCATTTCACTTTCGATTAATGATACATACTACTTATATCTATCGACATCAGTAGCACATACCACAGGATGATTGAATGGAGTCGTATAGAGATTTACTCAAATTCCTGTCAAATCATGAAAGGAGGTTATAGCTTATTTGTTGAGTATGTTATCTGGTAGCATGGTAAATACTAATTCAATATTTTACACAAGAGCTTACTTTATGTTAGATTGGAATCTAATGACAATCTGACAAAAAATACTATTGTTCACTCATAAATGTTGTTTTGATTCCAACAATGAAAAATTACAATAATCCATAACTGTTTGGGGCAATCAATATTCGACACGGATTAGCTCCACTGGTCACGACTTCTCATCAGAACTCCGAGAATTTTCTCACGAACCTAGTCACTAGTGAGCATATTGTAATTATTAACATAGGTGTTGCGGAGATTGTCAAGTTTTTCATTGAGATCATGAACCGATATTATAAATTCTAATTGTTTAGAGTGTTAATATAATTCTGTTCACTAAGCCCCCAAATGAAGTTTAGTCTAAATAATTTAACATAATGGTCTAGTTTCGTTTGACATTTGAATAATTTTTTTCTGGTTAGCGTTTTTTTTTAGCGAGATGATCTGGCTCTTCTATCACAAACGCAACATCAAATGCAGGAGAAGAAGACCAGTGTAGCTGCAGCCTCAACAGCAATAGGTCTCAATATACACAAAGAAAAAAGAAAGATTCTCCAATTTAACACAACATGCACGAATCCAATCGCAATTGACGGAGAGGCTTTGGAAGATGTAAAAACCTTTTCATATTTGGGCAGTATCTTCGATGAACACGGTGGATCTGATGCAAATGTGAAGGCACGGATTGGCAAAGCAAGAACAGGATATTTACAACTGAAGAATATCTGGAACTCAAAACAAATGGCAACCAACACCAAGGTCAGGATATTCAAAACAAATATAAAGACAGTTCTATTGTATGGGCGGAAACCTGGAAAACCCGAAATCCATCATCCAGAAGATACAGGTGTTTATTAACAGTTGTCTACACAAAATACTTCGGATCCGTTGGCTAGATACTATCAGCAACAACTTACTGTGGGAGAGAACAAATCAGATCCCAGCCGAGGAAGAAGCGCTGGAAGTGGATAGGACATATATTGAGGAAAGCACCCAACTGTGTCACAGGGCAAGCTTTCACATGGAATCCTTAAGGCCAAAGAGGTGAAGAGGAAGACAAAAGAACACATTACGCCGGGAAATAGAGATAGACATGAGAAAAATGAATAAGAATTGGATGGAACTAGAAAAGGGGGCCGAGGACAGTGTGGGTTAGAGAATTCTGGTCGGCGACCTATTCTCCATTGGGAGTAACAGATGTATGTTAGTAAGTTTGTTTGACATTAGATAGTTAAATGAATGTAACAGGAAAAACTACACCTTAAATTCACTTGGTATTGTTCCACTGGTTAGCAGTGGAATCCAGTTTAACGAGCGTTTTGTCCCATCTGAGATTCGTCAACTGGATGTACCTGCATCTCAGAGTTGTTATTAACTCTAGGACTCGAACCCAGTACCGTTCGCTTCAAACACCATTGCATCATCCACTTAACTACTGAATCATGTTAGTCATTTGCTTATGCAATGGGGTCAAGTTTAAATTCAACTAGTATTGTTTTACTTGAATCTTCCCATTGATTTTTAGGAATGTAATTGATCCTACACCTTGTTTTCTCATTAGTTATTATTTATCAATAATCTTTATTGAGAATCTTAAAGGAATATACAATCATTGTGAAATTGAAATATATTTTATTAATAAAAATATTACAAGTGAAGTATTTGGAACACAATCGATTCCTTCTGATTTGTAGTACACCGTTGTGTGTTTTTGAGAATAGTGAACTAATTGATTAACTCTAAAGATTAATCAATACTGAATAGATTACACTTCGATAATGAATTACCCCCAAATGCCCTGATACAGCCGAGAGTGAGGAGAGTCAGCTCTACCTCTTGAAATGCTCCCACATGGCCACGTACATACAACCACTATCTAGGAAGTTCTACTCATTGCCTTCTCACGGCATTACTGTTATTTACGATATTGAGAAGACGAAAAGCCAATGTCCGGAGCTTTAACCGGTTTGGTGGATATAAAAAGTCCACCCAGTGGAGTTGGAAAACCCTGATTCCAAATCAATGGTGTACATCAGCTCCAGGATTCTAAGCAAACAAATGGTGTACGAACCAATTATTGGTCACCGACTACAATAGGATTACATCTGCTGATGTTGCTCCACTGCCTTATGGATTAGACCTTCAGGTCAAAGGCTCCGTGTATAGCCTCCTAAGAAAACCACCTGCTTCGGTTTGGGCACCCGGGAAGTATCCCAGCCATCGCAAACATCGAATGACTTATATGTCGCATATCTTTTTAGTGCCTCCTTGTACCAATGTTTATATGTTTAAATAAATAAACAAATAATAGTAATGAATATTAATTAATCGATTTCAAATAATCATAAGCAAAATTTAACGTTAAGCTAAATCATCTATAAACAATATCTTTAATTATTAGGCATTAATTTTTTCCGGTTTAGGGGTTGTGGAGATTGTCAAGTTTTTGATTGAGATCATGAACCGATTGATGTTAGACCACCATTGAAAACCTGGAAACACTGGACTCACCAGCGGGATCATGGATGCGTACTGCTGAAGAGTCCCAGAATAGAACGAAACGGCCGTCCAGTGCTTTCAGGTTCTTCATGGTGGTCATCATCATCAATCGGTTCATGATCTCAATGAATTGTTTTTCTAAAAACGAACCCATCTAACATTGGAAAATAAAAGTCTAATTAGTGATGTTCTACTAACTATATTTACTTATATTAAATTACGATTTGAATGATAATAGTTAAATGAGTAAAAAGTATTAAATAATGAAAATGTTTACCATTGAACACCTCAGTCTCTCTCGCCTTCTCTTTCTATGTATATATAGTCCTTTTTTGTGGAAAACAAAAAGAATAACTTCATGGGAGTAGAATCATTATTCCGAAATGTAATCAGAATATTACGGTGCAAATATAAAGAAACATATATATGTGTGTACTTTACTTTATGACATAGAAACAAAATGAAAAAAACAACTACATTGTAGTTTCTACCAAAAAAAACTCAATTTAAAATAGTTACCATGACGAAAGAAAATCGATGAGTTGCACACACACACACACACACACACAGGGAATATAACAAACCTTTATGAATCTGTGAAATCATTTACATGTTGATTACGTAATGTATATATATATATATATATATATATATATATATATATATATACTAAATATTTGATTATGTGTAAAACATATTAATGAATTATGATGTGTTCTGTGAAATTTCCTCAATCCATGGTACAACACAAATTGTTGTATTTGCATGATGTACAACATAATCACTAACACTACCCATAATTGTACGTTTTATAGCACCTAAACCACGACTACCAATAATTATTAAACATGCATTCATTTGTTCCGCTTTTTTAATAATTGATTCCCCGATATGATTAACTGATTCATATAAAAATTGATATGTTAAATTATGTGCTAAACAATCAGCACTATAATCATTTTCTAATTCACGTACACGTTTTACATTTACTTCAACAATATTTGACCATTCATCACTTGGTATACTAATTGGATTAGATAATGAGATAGTTGGTAATGATACTGGTTCTACAGCATGATATATTGTTATTGAATCATCTGGTCTTTGTAACCATTTTAAATAATATTGAAATGCTTTTTTTGAATGTTCTGAACCATCAATAGCAATTAAAACAGATCTTGATCCAATTATAGGAGGTTTTGAAAATCCTGATGGTCTTCTATTCATCATAATTACTTGAAATGAATTTAATCACAAATGATTAATTTAGTTTTACTTCGCTTAAATATAGTAGTTGATATGCCCGCTTATTTGACCTTAAATCAAGCTAGAATTCTATTGGTTAATAAATATATAGACAATTTTCATTGGTTAATTTTTCTATTCAATCATTGGTTAAAATGACCATGTAATTGAAATTAAACTATTCCAATTATTAATGGATACATATTTATATTTATTTATTGGAAAATCAATTATTTTTTCTTCCCTACCAATCTATTAAGAAGCATTAATAATAATAATAATAATAATAATAATAATAATAATAATAATAATGATAATAATGATAATAATAATAATAATATAATAATAATAATAATATAATAATAATAATAATAATAATAATAGTTATTATTATTTCACTGGTTGAAATCATGAGTCAATTGAAGCTACACCACCATGGGAAACCTGGAAGCACTGGACGGCCATTTCGTCCTAGTATGGGACTCCTCAGCAGTGTGCATCCACGATCCCGCTCCTCGCAAGATTCAAACCCAGGACCTATCAGTCTCGCGTCAGGCGCTTAACCAACTAGACCACCATTGTTGATAATGAATTACTTTAGAGTTCGATGAAGAATGTTGATGAGAGGCTTATGCTCCTTCATGAGGGATAATAAGTATAAGTAATTCCGTTTGAAGCCCCTCTAGGAATACTGATGGTTCCAAGCTTAGATAAAGGAGAAGGATTGGGTATATGGTTAGCGATATCTTCTTGTAGAAAACTAATTCGCTAAAAAAAAGAAACGCTAACCAGAAAAAAATAATTCAAACTATTTAAAACTCTATCCTGAGAGTTGGAAGGTCTTGTTTAGAAGAGTTATGACGTCTCATAATGAAAGCCGAGATCCTCCTGTAGTCAGGAAACTAATGACCATTCTGAAAGCCAGAACAACCATTAATTTAGGTACATGGAAGATTTGTTCAATATCGGAGAGTCATCCAAGTTGCTGCAGAAATGAAAAGACACAACTTGGATGTGCATGGAATCAGTGAAACAGATTGGACAACAAAGACTATCTTCAAAAGAGCTGCTGTTATACTTCGGTCATGAAGAAAATGCTCTAAATAAACAAGGAGTTGCACTGTAAGTAATTACTTCAAAGCTGTTTATTATCTATCGGTCTATCAATCTTATTTTATTATTTTATTTTAACACATAGATATCGGTACAAGAAGGCACCAAATACATATGCGCCACACATATCTCATTTGATATGTGTGAGGGCTGTGATACTGCCCGGGTGCCCAAACCGAAGCAGGGATCTATCAATCAGTCGAAATTCATAGGACTAATTTCAATATTAATGCTATCAGTTATATTTTCTCATTTAAACTCTGCCCTGACAGTTACAAAGTTATCATTTAGAAGAGTTATGACGTCTCATGATGAAAGCGGAGTTCCTTCGGAAGTCACAAGGTTGATGTCCCTCCTGATAACCAAAGCAACCATTATTTAGTTTATTACAATGTACAGTTAGGATTTTTTTTCACGAAGTAGAATTAGCCAACAAATCTTTGATTTCGTAATTAAATAATACTGAATTATTTAAACTAATTAAATGGGTATTAAATATTAATTTCAGTCTTTACAATGTGGAACATTTCTTCAGGAATGACATAGCTTAAGTTACATTGACAAACGCTTGTTAGGAAACCATTCAAAGATGAGTAAAATCTATAACTATCAAATTAATTTGATAACTATGATATAAGTGATCATATAATGAAATAAGATATCTGATTTTAGGATACGGTTTAATATTTAACCCCCTATTAGATGATTGAAGATGACAGGACCTGGATTTAGATCTCGTATTGATTCGCACATATAACCATGTTGTAACTGTGACGTTTAGAGTATCTATTTTTCTTATTATGTTCAAAGTCCTATTATTTAGTACCACAATCAATGATGTTACCTCTCACATAACTAATCGGGAGCGACTAACATCTTATAAGGTTGAGATATTCATAATGATTGATAACTGAATAATGGACAAATTTATGTTTCTTCAATGTTTAAAATTAAAACACGAAGTTCAGCGAAGGAATCTCTTTTCAACGAATTTATTATCAAGCTGTACAATCGTATATATATATATATATATATATATATATATATATATATATATATATGAAAATTTTGTAAAAGTACTAATTCCGTGAGGAAATGTGAACACAGTTAACCAAGATGACGTAATAGGAAGATTATAATACTAGATTACGTAATAGGAATAACGACAAGAGATTTAGTGAATATAATAAGATGATTAAAATGTTTTTGTTATAATACTTAAAGGTCATAGAGGTGTGAAAAAATAAATAAATAAGGTAATATGATGAGTATTTACAAATAAAAACAATGAGAATATAAGACATAAGTAAAGCGGGAATGCAACCTTTAATAATAATAATAATAATAATAATAATAATAATAATAATAATAATAATGATAATAATAATAATAATGATAATGATAATAATAATAATAATAATAATAATAGAATAATCAAAATAATTAAGGCCAAGGTAACGATAGTGATAAGACGTACTTCTTTTGTACGCATAGTTCTGGTTTAAGCTCCTGAATGGTAAGAGCTTCGGCTATTTTTAAGAGTTGGATACGAAGAAATCTAGGTAGATTTGGACGAATCATATAAACAACCCTAAAATCAATTTGTGGATCTGTAGAATAGTTACAGTCGATAAGGTGTTCAAGTATAGAACTCCTTACTGCTTTCCTTTCATCCTTATAGAACCAAGCTGGAATATGTTCCCGTATCCGAGTTGAAGGCGAGCGCTGGCTACGGCCAATGTACCTTGCTCCACAAGAGCAGGTGAACTGATAGATGCACATAGAGGCGACCAGACGCGGAAGCTTATCTTTTACGGATACAGAAAATAAGTTCCTACTAGTGAAGGTTATTCGCAGTTTAGCTGCATTAAATGTTCTTCTAATCGTTGTTGTTAGACGATTTTTGATCACATCTGATGTTCGATCACCTTTAAATTCCAGACTTGTATAAAGGTTTTTCTTCGGAACGGAACAACTAGATTTCTTGTCGTAATTACTTCTATTCAGATTCTTTTCTATGAACCGTTCTGGGTAGCCATTTTCCTTCAAGATTTTCTTGAGGAATGCGAGTTCTTCGTTAATGCATTCCATACTGCATATCTGGTGTATTCGATAACAAAGAATGGATAAGATTTCTCATCAGACGTACATCGAGAAAAGGAATTGATTGGTCTCGTTTCCTTTCTAACGTGAAGTCTATGGATGGGTGGCATGAGTTAAAAGTGTGTAAAATATCATCTAGATCAATATTATTGTCACAAACGACAAACGTGTCGTCCATGTATCTCACGTATAGGTGAAATCGATTGATCATTGAACGGAGTTGGTCGTTTTCTACTTTTGCCATGAAACAGTCTGCTAAAATTGGACCCAATGGAGACCCCATTGTGATCCCATCTCTTTGTCTATATATTTCATTATTGAAACTGAATTGGACATTAAAAGTACAGCGTAACAATAGTTCTTTCAAGTGTTCAGTCGGTAAACCTAGATCTATGTTGTTAGAATATATATATATATATATATATATATATATATATATATATATATATATATAATTCGGAAGTGGATTACATCACATTGACAAAAGTGAATCATGTCCAAATAGAGGAGAGTTCAGTACAGTCAATTTAGTTTAGTTAGATTTAATGTAAACCCAAAGCAGTTGTCGCGTACTCTTTGGATCTTAGTAGTTCTACAAACTATTACGGTTCATGAATTGTAATATACCTGTAAACTGATTGAGTGAAGTATTGTTAGTTGATATATATCAGTATTGACTAGAACTGGACTACCAGAATCCTATACTGTTCACTTCAAAACATGTTACCTGAACATATATATAATCAATTATGGGTATTTTCATCAATACATGAATTCAGTGGCTTATGAGATCATCAGAATTAATAGATAACTCGTAACTCAATAATGATATTGAAAATTAATCGAGTTACATCATAATTTGACATCCTTTAATCACTTATCTGTTAAGTAACGTCATTAGAGGACTTATTCTAGATAGAGATAAAACAATAAAGAAAAACATTGATCAACTAACTGATCACTAAGAAATGACAAGTATCATGTTTGTCTCGTCATTTAGTATTGATAAATTGAATGACCGGGAACAAAAGAAAGTTGAAGCAAAAACGTGCGTACAATTGAGGCTTTTAAAATTCAGAAATACAAGCATGAACTCAACATGCAATCTATAATTCTTATTCAGTCCTGAAAAAACCCCTCCTAGTCTTTTTTAATCGGTACTCAATTATTGCTAAATTGTTTTAACTTGTAGTGTCTGTTATTATGCTAAGCCCATATACCTTATTCTAGCTTTCGGACAGCCCCCAAATGCCCTGGTACGGCCGAGAGTGAGGAAAGTCCGCTCACCCTCTCAAAACGCTCTCACATAGCCACGAGTATATAGCCTCTGCCAGGGAAGTCCTACTCACTGCGTTCTCACACCACGGGTGTTGTTTACGAAAATGAGAGGACGTAAAGCGAATGTCCAGCGCTTTAACCGGATCCCAAACCAATGGTGCACATGGGCTCCAGTATCCTGAAAGAACAAATGGCGTATGAACCGATTTCTTGGTCACCGGCTACCATGGGACTACATCTCCTTACGATGCTCCACTGCGTTGTGGATCAGATCTTCAGGTCAAAGGCTCGGGGTGTGGCCCCTAAGAAAACCACCTACTTCGGTTTGGGCACCCGGGCAGTATCACAGCCCTCACACAAATCAATTGAGATTTGTGTGGCGCATATGTATTTGGTGCCTTCTTGTACCAATATCTATGTGTTAAAATAAATAAAAAATACTATTCTATTCATCCTACTTGAGTCCCATTCTAACCTTGTTAATTATTCGCTTATCAATATCTTGACTGTCTTTGTATGAGCGCGTAGGTGTGTGTACACTTCTTATCCCATTACTCATCACATCTCGGTAACTTAGTTTTGTGTGCTTATAAATATTGATGAACGCTTGGTTAAATGGGAGCTGGCTTACAAGCCATCTCCACCGCGCGTTAATTTTGCGTCGCTTTCTCCTCTTCGCATCGTTCTCTCGTTCGTCTGTTTGACCAACGATTATACAAAATATATGTATCCAATGTTCCATTCTTGTTATTTGACTTATTTAATTCCGTTATTAACTAACGCGATTTAAGTCGATGATTATATACGAGGATAGGCGACATATATATATTCAATAACAACCATCCATGCGATCTACTTGGTGTCAGATCTCCGGCCACCAAAGTGGAGAGCCCTTCGACAACATCGTTCGATTTAAATGACGACAAAATAAACGACCCCACAAAAAACTTTTCATAATAATTATTCATTTATTTTTCATATCTGTCAAGTGAAGACAATTATCTCTCATATTTTGCATCTTTTTCAACCTCCAGATCATCACGAAGCTTTTTTTGTGATGCTTGAAATCTTCGAACACTTTATAACATACTCTCATTTTCACTACAATCCAAGATATTTATTGAACCATCATAGATAAGGTTGTAGAACTTTAGAAAATGACACTTAAAGAGAATAATCTCAAATTCTACAGATTGTTGGCTAGAAAATGGAATTAGCAGTTTGGTAACATGTTGTAACATCTTCCAACTATGTCGCTACAAACGCAGTTTCACCATTATGATCAAATATATGATAGTTTGTAATCAACAAACAACGTGAATGTACCTTCTTATGTGCCCTGGTTAGTATATGTTTGAATGGTTAATTGAAGTAAAATCCACATGGATAAATACGTTAGGAAACAATCTAGCACGAATATAACAACAGACCTATCAGTCATCCTTGTTGTTATTGATCTACGCTTCCTTTTTTTTTCTAGTTGTATATGATTTCAAGTATCCTGTAACGGAGCTGAAATTACTCTTGTTTACACTATTCATTCTTAAACTTAACGTTTCAGTCTTCCTATTAAGAAAATACTGAGACTAAACTGTTGTTTTGACTATCATTCCAAAACGTTCATAACGTTGTACAATTGCATAAGTCTTGACATAACAAAAGAATCCAAATATTTCTCGGTTGCATTATACTACTATTATACGGCAAGTAACCGAGAATATACTACTATTAGACTAGGTACACTAATGATATGATATACACAGACTGGGACGAGTTATACTGGATACGCGAGTAATGACCGAAAATAGAGTACCATAATATAGAACAGACGATACATTATTGAACACAACGACAAATCAATCTACACTCAGTGAGTCCAGAGTAAAAATCAATAATTTCATGGAAATGGTACATCTAATAATGAGCGTCTATTAGTGTACGTTCAATTGCCAATCGTATCACGCATCGCTTATAGTTCTCCTAACATTACTCTATACTCAAAAGATTGAGGACTATCATAATAAATATATCCATAACAATAACGTACTGGAAAAACAGTATCATTGATGTGAATTTCGCATGCATCTCTTGGACCACGAAATCGATAACTTTGTTGTAAATATTTGGTGAAAAAAGTAATTGACGAATCACATATCTTTAAACACTATATCCTTAGTTGTTTTGTGGATATTGCGTCCTCATTTTTCTCTACAACTTGACCGTTTTACAAATGTAACAACCATCCTTCTTCAATGTTCCATAAAAATGAAGTATTTAGCACTACTCCGTTAATTTTGTCTATTCGTGTAATTTTCACTAACGATTTCATTTCATTAGCCATCTATGCACGACTTCTGTGAACACGACACTGTAGTACATCATGAATTGTTGGATGAGAAACGTAAATAACGTGAAAATTAGCACTTGAAATGATATTTGTTACAACTCTCGATTTTACTTTGTCTAATGTTATAACAGTTGGGTTTCCACGTTTACACTTATGGGAAGTTAACTTACCTTAAATGAATATCTACACTAGATTCCTTCCCAGTATATCAACACAACTCAGAACTAGAACATGTGATTAGTTTGACCATAACGTACATATATTTCCACACAGAAAACCCGACACAATCCAACAAAAATGAACAATCAATAATGAGTAGTAATAATAATAGGGATAGGGGAATATATAACTCATCTGACACCAGTCAGACTATCTACATGTTTGATCAAGCAGACAACCAAACATTATCATTCTCACTCATAAATCAAAATTCCCATCGGAAATCATCCTATATTATATATATGTAACATTCATTCATAAAATGTATAATTATGTGTTATTCCCCTGAAATATTGATGTGAATCTTATAATTATGATTAGAATAATATAATGTTAGTAAAATTATGAACTATTGATTCGATGGTGGTTGGAGGTAGTCGACAGGAAACCTTGGACCCGGGTTTCGTGCTGCTTGGCACTCGTCAGCAAGGTGTACCTGTAATCTTTGAGGGAACTGGTGCTTCCTGGCGGATTCCATCCCGTGTCACCCAGCTTCACAGTCAAAGACGTTACCACTAAGCTATCCGTCTAATCTCACAATAGTGCCCGCAGTGTCGAGTCACCTAGACTGGTGGCCACATTGCAACATAGTCGATAGCATTCGATCTGCACTAATAATAAGGACTAGATACGCATGACATTGATCACCACCTAGTGATCAATCAATTGTGACTATTGATTCGTTTTGGCACTTGAAACAAACGACACTAAGTTCAAATCCCGTAATGAATATCAACTCTATAATTTGAATTATATCCAGTTGGATAAAACATAAATTTTGCATTCCCCTAGTAACCATCTTTGATTATTATGGAAATTATAGTTTGTTAAGTCACATGAATTTAGATTTTATTTATTCAAATAACTAACTACTAAATATTTTGTTTATTTGTTTTCTGATAAGATAAAATTGTACCAATTATAGTCACATGACAAAGAATTCAGGAAGAAAAAAACAACTCCGTGAGACTAAAATTTTACGGACAAACCAATCAGATAACAGATCTCAGATTTTGGCGCGAAATTTATTCATTCAGTTTGGATAAATAGAATTTTGACATCACAATTGATTGATCACTGGTCCTACAGGAGGTCGGTCACGACCCGGATAGCTCAGTGGTAACGTCTCTGATTGTAAAGCTGGGTGACACGGGATCGAATCCGTCAGGGAGCATCAGTTCCCTCAAGATTATAGGTGCACCTTGTTGATGAGTGCCAAGTAGCACGAAACCCGGGTCCAGGGTTTCCTGTCGACTACCTCCAACCACCATCTAGAGTTTCGACATTATAGTTGTGATATCAATTCATGATGAAAACCTGAAATCTAATTTCCAAGAATAATTCCTTACACAAGTTCATAACCCTCATTTAGTTTTGGTTATTAATTAAACACTCTCAAGATCAGTCTAGCATCACTCTTTCAAAGGTCGTTTATAAATGATAAGTTTCATCAAAAACTCAAATAGATAAAAAAAGAAATTTATATAAAAAATAAGAATCTAGGCAAGAATAGAATCATTAGTGAATTGTATGGAATATAGGGGGGTAACCGGGAATAAAAGGAATAGTATAGTCATATATACAATAGATAATAATAATAATAATAACTAAGTATTATTACTCTGGTTACTGATAGACAATCAGGATAACAGGTAAAGAGAATTACCTGACCATTTTCATTGTTCATTTATTTAACACTAATGAAAGAAATGATCTAATTTCGATTGTTTAGAATTCAATAGTTGCTTATTTGTAGAGGTTTTTTTAGTTTTTCGTTGATTTCTATCCATCTGTAGATACAATTAAATAATCAACAATAATAAAAGAACAAAAAAAAAACTTATGTCGTAAATTACATGTCAGGAAATATATACGAAGGAAGATAATCATCACAAAACAACAAAGAATCTGGTATATATGCACTTGAATAAATAGAGGGAAGTAATATTTCTATTCAATCATGTGTTTCACTATAGCTTTACATAAACGATAAAATACTACTAATCAATAAGTAATAAAGTTCGAACTACACTGTTCGTAAGGAGACTAATGATGCCTCCAAATGTCCTGGTACGGCCGAGAGTGGGGAGAGTCCGCTCTTCCTCTCCAAATGCTCTAACATGGCCACACCTAAATAGCCTCTGTCAAGGAAATCCTACTGACTGCCTTCTCACACCACGGGTGTTGCCTACGAAATTGAGAAGAAAAAAAGCGAATGTCCGGCGCTTTAACCGGATCCCAAACCAATGGTGCACATGGGCTCCAGTATCCTGAAGAAACAAACGGCATTTGAAGCGATTGCTGGTGATCGGCTACCATGGGACTGCATCTCCTCACAATGCTCCATTGCCTTGTGGATCAGATCTTCAGGTCAAAGGCTCGGGGTGTGGTCCTCTAAGGAAACCAACTGTTTCGGTCTGGGCATCAGGGCAGTATCATAGCCCTCACACATATCAAATGAGATCTGAGTGCGCATATGTATCTGGTGACTCCTTGTACCAATATCTATGTGTTAGAATAAATAAATAAAGACTAATGATAATATTAGGTCCCATAAACCGAACTAGGTAGTTGTCGGGTCTAAGCTTATCATTTATTCGTTAAAAGTTGAGTATTTTAATTGATCCATTAAGTATAAGACAGTCGAGTAGATAACCTGACTATTTATTTAGACTGATACGTGTAGGTAGGTGTAGACTACCTGGTTAGAGTATGAGTGAATATTGCGTTGCTGGGTAATATATTTCAGAATTGGTGACACAATGGTGTAATTGGGCATATAGTTTTTGTTCACCCCAACTTTCAACATGGTACTACACATCATATTTTATAAATTTATTTTTTATTCTTAAATCATAATATGACTAGCCTTTTCTATGATCACTTCAAATATTAGTACTACTAGTCTGGGATACGACAACTCGGACCGATGAACATGTGTGCTAAGTTCGACATAACTTATGGACAACTGGTTACTTCGATAATATGCGCGCTATATATTTTGAGACTTGTGCATTCAATAATTGGTTAAAATTTAATTATTTGTATTAAAAATAGTCCATGACTGACCTTCAATTACCTTAGTAACAGAAATAAACAATGAGAATAAATCTTGTCCCTATTTTAGCTGTCTATTGAACAGTAAAATTATCTTTCTCAATAATCTCAGAACTAATATATGTCAGCTCACTTATGAAATAATTGGGTTCAATTTCCTAGTGTATTGATTAAAGTCATAATTAAATATTGAATATAGAACACTTACTTCAGAATGGGATAATTTGGAGTAGTTTTCAAAATGAGCAAATATCTGAAAATGACAAACAAAAATCTTGATCATTATTTGATCAAGTTTAAAATATTGTGAATGTGCGCAGAAAATAAAATTGTATATTATGTTCCTAAAACCAGTATTTATTTATTTGAAGTAGATGCAGTTCCATGGTAGCCAGTGACCAACAATCGGTTCATACACCATTTTTTCCTTCAGAATACTGGAGCCCATGTGCACCATTGGTTTAGAATCAGAGTTTTTCAACTCCCCTAGGTGAACTCTCCGTGTTCACCAACCCGGTTAAAGCGCCGGACATTAGCTTTTCGCCCTCTCCACTTCATAAACAACACGCCCGATACGAGAAGGCAGTGAGTAGGACTTCTCTGGCAGAGGTTTTATACGCGTGGTCATATGAGGGCATTTCGAGAGAGAGAGAGAGCTGACTCTCCCAACTTTCAGCCGTACCAGGGCATTTGCAGGGGGGAGTAGAGGTAATTACCAACTGGTTAACTAGATAAAAATTCGGATACTTTGAGCCACACTCTAAGTGTAAGTGTTTAAGATACTACCCAGTTGTCTAGACAGAAGTAGATGCATCGAAGTATTAACCCTTAAGCCACAACCCAATCATGCAAACTAGAAAGGTCAGAATGATTTGAAGTAAAGTGTCCAGTCACAATAAGTAGAATAGTATTATAGTAAAAATGAAAATGTAAAAACTAAATTGTGTGAATAAAATGCATAGTAGGAGAATTCAATCTTGTCAATTGAGATAATAATAATAATAAGATTGTTATGTGAATATATGTAATAAGCGGGGGATGTTACCAAGGTAATTACGATAAACGAATTGGGAATGATGGATGTGAAGATTAAGATGAAGGTAATAAAAAAGAGGGGGTAAGATGTTTATAATATTCAGTTTAGGTATCCGGCGGTCCAGTCATAGGCCAAGGTAAACATAGAGGCTGGATATATTTTTTCTGGATACATAAATTTTATTTTTTTTGGAGTTAATCCAGATGGCTTCAGATATGTAGAGCAATCGTAATCTAGCTCCTTTAGGTAGATATTTTGGAACTTGATATAAAACAGAGAAAGCTTCCTCTATTTTGATATGATGTTCACTATCCACCAAGTGAGAAAGAATGGTGCTGTTGAATGGTATTGTTGAATAACCTTTCTAATTTGCAAATAATACAATTTTGAAATATATATATATATATATATATATATATATATATATATATATGTCGTAACAGATGCAAACGTGCTATTTATTTATTTATTTTAACACATAGGTATTGGTACAAGGAAGCACCAAGTACATATGCGCCACACGAATCTCAATTGATTTGTGTGAGGGCTGTGATACTGACCGGGTGCCCAAACCGAAGCAGGTGGTTTTCTTAGGGGGCAACACCCCGAGCCTTCGACCTGAACGTCTGACCCACAAGGCAGTGGAGCATCGTGAGAAGATGCAGTCCCATGGTAGCCGGTGACCAACGATTAGCTCATACGCCATTTGTTCCTTCAGGATACTTGAGCCCATGTGCACCATTGGTTTGGGGTCCGGTTAAAGCGTCGGACATTCGCTTTTCGTCCTCTCATTTTCGTAAACAACATACGTGGTGCGAGAAGGCAGTGAGTAGGACTTCCCTGGCAGAGACTATATACGCGTGGCCATGTGAGAGCATTTCGAGAGGGAAAGCGGACTCTCCCCACTCTCTGCCGTACCAGGGCATTTGGGGGCACCATATTTTAACACATAACACTGTCAAATTTCATTAATACATGCCTTATTATTTTTTGGCCTTTGTTAAATATCACAATAATTATGGACTTGTAACTGTAGAGCCTGATGATGAAGTTATTGCAAAAACAATTGTTCGCTCAAATATTCTTCATTTTTTGAATATTCTATGGGGATTTTTAAACTGCATACAGAATATGTATGAGGGTTAGTAAACGATAACCGAACCGCCTGAGTTAATAAACTTAAAATTTAATAGCATCAACCAAGGGATTATCGTTGTCATTCAAAGTCAATGTATTTATTAGTTAATGACTAATGAGTAACTAATGGACGGGATTAGTTTCATCAAAATTTGTCTTAATTAACATTGTATGTTAGGTGGCACCTGGATCCAAGATGTATGTTTCACTTAATTAGGGGACTCTCTAGCTGGATGTGTGTGGATTCAAGCGATGTTTAAACAGACTCTAAACTAGTATAGTTTAATCAAAGTCGAAATGTTTGTCTATGGAAAGCATAAACATAATGAAGTTTCTTTCTCGTAAATAGATAAAAACTGGTTATAAATTATGTAAAACACACACACACACACATGCACAAATAAACATACAAACATAACTTGCCTTTCTAGTAGCAGTGGATATAGCCGAGTCGTTTAAATCTTCACGACTAACCCATCGACCAGAATTTAAACTAGGCGGCCAATCACAAGTAGTAGTAGTAGTATTGGAATTATTTAAACACTCAGAGGGAATTGTTTGTTGTTGTTGTTGTTGTTGTTCAACTTTTAACTCGAATACAATATACGTCATGTGTATATGTGAGAAAATATGTAGAACCTGAAGGTGGAAGAGTTATCACAGTAGTAAATGTAGGTAAATATAAACATACAACCAGGAAAATTATTAGTTTAGATAAGATTTTATCAAACTGTTTCAAATGGCATTTATATATGATGAAAAATAGAATAGATTGATTAGCTGGAAAACTCTACCTACAACTATATATTAATGAACAAAAACAATGGAGATGTAGTAATTCACATTGATTATAAAGATATGTATCTTTCAATTAACTTTGATTATATCAGGAAAGGTTTGATGTGGTTTCGATTGACTTATCGACAAATTGTCCAACTGTTGATTTCAGTCAACATATTATGATGATAATTACTTTATTAAATGTAATAGATTCATTTTATAAATTAAGATAAGACGAAAATGACAATGTTTGATGAAGATTCGGCCCACAAATACCCTGGTACAGTCGAGGGTGGAAAGAAACTACTCTCCTCTTCAAATGCTATCATATGACTACGTGTATATAACCGCTTTCAGGACATCCCTACTCATTCTCTTCTAGAGGAACGGGTGTTGATTCAGAAATTGTAAGGACCATAAGCAAACATTCAGCTCTTAAATCAGATTAGTGAATACGGACGAACCACCTAGAAAACTTGAAAAATCCTGATTCCAAACCTATGGTGCACATGTGATACACGATCCTAAGGTAATAAACGACACATGAACCTATTCTCAGTCATAGGTTACCATGAAACAGAATCTTCTAACGTTGTTCCACTGTCTTGTGGATTGGGTTGCTGAGTCAAAGATTTGGAGAGTAGTAGCTTTCTAAGAAAACCACCTGCTTTGGTTTGACCAATGTCCTGATAGCTTTCGAAGTCAAATTTCCGATTCTAAAACAACATATTGGTACGTCTGAATTATAATTAAATCTAATAGTTTAAAGTTTAGTGTTATTCTCCCCTAGAGACAAAACAGCTCTCTGATTCACTTTGTATTGTTTTACTTGAATCTTCCCATTGATGTTTAGGACTGCAATTGATCAGTCTTTTAACGGCATATGTGCATACTGTACGTATTGCCTCGATATTGTCTTAATTTACAAGCGTTATAAGCAAAGATGGATAGTGGCTAGCAGTGGAATCCAGGACGCGCGCAAGCAATTGGCTATCAGAACTCAGTAACTGAGTGGATGACGCGATGGCGTTTGAAGCGAATGGTACTGGGTTCGAGTTCCAGAGTGAACATCAACTCCGAGATGCAGGTACATTCAGCTGACGAGTCCCAAATAGGACAAAACGCACGTCCTGGATTCCATTGCTAGCTACTATTCATCTTTGCTTATAAAGCTCTCTGATTGTTCAAAGTTATTTTTAAAAATCAATACCTAGTTAATACACACATAATGAAAACATTCTCTCATTGATAAAAGTTCATTTACTGGAAATTTACATTTCTCTGTTATTTTTATAATCCAAATCTGATCATCTAGTAAAATATTACGAACTATTTAGGCTGGTGATTCACCGCTTAAAACAACAGTTATAACTAAGTTTAATAAAACTTTTTTTTAAATCTTTAAATGAAGAAACCGTTTTATAAAATAAAATGAAGTGGTTAATATAATGATAGATTGAATTACAAGGAAAGCAGTTGGAACTTGAGTCAAACGAGAACAAAGAACTGCTGGTACTATACATGAATGAAGTGATTGAAAGTAATCGGCAGGATACGATAATACTAGGTAAAGTGTTCATTAGAACTCAAGTTTTAAAATTATGATGAAATAAATATCATTTCAAACAGGAGAAACGATTGTATACCATCAATCTGTTGTAAGCAACAAGGGAATCTAACATGAATTAATGTATCAGTTCAAGTGATTACATCTTCATGATTATGACACCGATTCCAATAAGGTAGTCAATGTATACATGAACATACTTCAGAGTAACAGTTGACTATTTCATGAATTCATATTGTTATATAGTTTGATCACCTCTAGCTTTCTTTCAACCTATTCTTACATTAACTAACGCTATACATTGGAGATAGACAATGATTGAATGCATATGTAATACTATGAAAGTAAAACCCATAATTTCTTAATCATTGTTATATCTTATATTTGATTGTGATTAATATATCTGCTCACAAAACTATAAAAAATATCATACCTCTCCAATAGGTTTCACATTTAATTCATTAATTGAAGTTATAATCAGTGAGGAATTCAATGCATTTGTAATTCGATCAATAACTAAAGGAATAAATGATTGTTGAATTTCACTTGTCAATTTGTCATCTTCAATCGTATAACTTGGAAATTCCCATAAACCAGCTAAAAGACCTAAGAATTCATGCATAAAAATGTTTATTTGTTTAAAATCACTATTGTTAATATAAATATACATATTAAATTTGTGAAAAACAATATGATCGATCGTGAAAATAATACATCTCACTTTGTGCACGGATGATTTTTGTCCCCGACAGTAACGCCATAATGTTGTAGAGTAAACAAAACAAAGCCTAGTCACAAAGTGGTCGTGTGCCACCCTGGCACAAACAGCTATCTCTTAGGCTTTATTGTCATTGCCTGAGGTCATGAAGGCTACCAATCAGGGGGAACATATATTCACAGGTTTCCAACAAGTTACATAAGATAGCTTTACAGTCAAATCTACTACGTAGGTTAATGCCTTAATCAATTATTAAAATTACTCAGTCAGTCAGTCAATCAGCTGCAACATAGGACCAGGCACATATATGCATCTGAAAAATTTACAACAATCCTAATCACTACATCAAAGTAGCAGCTTCAAAGTATATTCGATAAGGTAACAAGTAAATTATAAAAACATTTCTCCCATTGCAACAGTTATTAGTTATAAAGATATCGATTATGGAATACAAGATGCTATATCCTAGCACAGAACAATACGCAACAAGGTCGAGAACATTGACCGATTGGTTCAGTATAACTAGACCCGAATAAAGAGAAAGAACACAAAACAAGTGATCAATAGTCCAAGATCGTTATATATATATATATATATATATATATATATATATATATATACCATGTCATATACTGACCACCTCTCCGCTTTTTCCAACCAGTCCCAGAGTCGGCAAATAATGCACGACGAGGAATTCTCTGGGACAACATTCGTAGAACATGTCCAAGCCACCGAAATCAGTGTTTCAAGATGGTGACACCGATGGAATTATCGTCTCTGTGCCTGAACACACGATGCCGAACCTCTGCATTACTAACATGGTGTTGCCACTGAATGTCAGCAATCCTTCGGAGACAACGATGATCGAACACAGAGAGTCGTCTAACATCCTCAACTCGGAGAGGCCAGGTTTCACAAGCATAGAGCAGAACTGCTCTGACCGACGCGTTGTAGATCCGACATTTTATAGCCAGACTGACATCACGAAGGCACCAAAAGTGGCTCGGATTGGTATAGGACGCTCTGGCTTTCACTATACGTGCATTGATCTCATCACTCACGCCACCACCACTACCACTTATTCCCTTAGCCATCGTTCGGATGTAACACAAGACAATATTGAAGTTTTAAAAAGGAGACATTTTGTAATTGATCGGTAAATTGAGAAATTTAACTTCATCAAGTAAGCTATAAGTGACATAAAATCATACAAATTTGTGCAACTCTGCACAAGTTCCCACATCAGATCAAATATGAAAATGAATACCAGAGTACAAGAAGTAATCATCGTATCAATAATAGTAGAAAACATTAGGTGTAGACAACATGATTTGAAAAGGAATAAAGAAATTATGGGATACAAATTATAAGTATTATAAGTAAAAGAGTGAAAGCATCTATGTCACTGAGATGGATTCTGATCCACATCAACTACTTGCAACGAATATCGCGCTGATAGCAACAAGGTGATTTGTACCTGCCTGCCTGCCTACCTACCTACCTACACAGCTCAGTTCAACAGTCAGTGATTTGATAAATTTACGTCATATGTTAGTTTGAGAGTACCTAACTCACTTCCAACCTCTTACAACAGCAAACACTGACAATAGACTAAACAATTATATACCAACATACTACAAGAAAGAATTACATAAGGAATATAGGGAGAGAAAAAAGTTTGTATCATTTAACACATACATACCTGTTTTAGGTCGTTGTAAAAGTAGGTAGTAATTTTTTAATGTTTCATCCTCTTTTCTTGAAGTATAAGTGATTAGAATAACTGTATTTTGTTTACGAGGTTCACGTTTGTTAAGTTTTACAGGATAATTCATTACTCCAAGACTATATAAGAATAATAATAATAAATAAATAAATCAGAAAACATGTAAACGAACAAAAATCTTTTCAATTCGACCAGTTAGGAAAATGAACCCTTCAAGAAGGTCAACAATAAACTAGATCTATGCATAAATTAGATAGACAAAGCACTTATCATCATAGGTTAGGATATTAACAAAAAGAAATCTTAAATCCGTTTGACATTGTGTGTTTGGCAATCACTTTCACTTGAGAGAATGAGTATGAGAATACATTAAATTACCATGACATATCATTTGGTAGACAGGATAACAGTTTGTTAGACAAAAGGGTGTATAGAGAGGGCGCTTCTGGGTGTTGAGATACAGACTTCCGTAGCCTGATATCTATGCACTACAAAAGTAATCTGCTTAGATACTTTACAAACAGGATAAAAAAGATCTGCCCAGATGAAGCCATAAGTAAGGACTTGAAGCTTTTAATAATACTCTGATGGTAGTGGGCTATTTATCAAGTTTTTAGAACATATGTAAACAGGGGGAAAAAAGTTGGAAATATAGACGCTCGAAGGAAACCTCTTAGTCTAACTACAGTTCAACGAGAATGTAGATAGTGACGTTTCGTAAAGTAGATTAGTGAGTACAGTTAGAAGGATAATATATTCAGCAAATCTTACGTTAGCATTTCCTAGTTAACCGGTAATATTTACTCAAACATAGAACAATTTACTTGGGTTTACTTCTTTGATATGCATCTACAAATTTATCTGCTCTTGAGATAGCTATATTAGACGTACTAACGAATATGTGAACATTTCTTATAATGATTTGGAAAGGATCAAACAAAGACTATCACGTTTGCCCATGATAGTGTGGTGATCCAACAGATACCTTTGTCATTTCTCAATGAATTTCGATCCCGTCTCCTATATATAGCTATAAGGATCCGAACTTATAACCCTAGTTCATATGCGCAAAGGAAATTCGTGACACCCCTATCTCTTCCTTGGTCAAATATGACTTCATAAACGACCTTATTAGTTTTTTTTTCATATCAAGTATTTGTTTGTCATTTTTCATCTGTTCCCGTCTATATCCTTCACTATCTAATCATCTAAACTTCATTGCGTAATTTTATTGTCTTGTCGTTTTTCTTTAAAGTATGTTCATCTAAGTTTAACCTACTTCTTACGTTGAATTAATGATTAGAGCTTTTGTTATTTTATTATTCTTATCTCTACTATTAGTTTGTAACCTTCACGTATGACGTGTAGTTGAGAAATTGTAGAAATGGTCCCATAAATTCTCTTGATTGATTTGGCGCTTTCATATATCCATATAAATATTGCCATATAAATAGAGGCTCAGTGAAAGAGACGATCTGACTAAAACCAATGTTATTCTATATGGATTATTAATGCTAATGGGCGGTCTACGCTCCTCCACAACGGGTAACAGACGTAAGAAATATGGATTATCACCATTTATTTAAACACATAAACACTGATACAGTTGGCAACAAAATATATACGAGCCACACAAACCATCGAATTTGTGTATGATCTGGGCTACTATCTGAGCTACTCACTTCCTAACTCTTCGACTCAGCGACCTAATCCACAAGACAGTGCAGCAGCGTTAGAAGAAGCGGTCTCATGGTAACCTATGACTGAGAATAGGTTCATGTGTCGTTTATTCCCTCAGGATTCTGCACCACACGTGCACCATATGTTTGGGGTCAGAGTTTTCCAACTTTCATAGGTGGATAGTCCGTACCCACCAATCTGACTGAATGTTTGCTTATGGTCCTTCCAATTTCGGAATCAACACCCGTTCCTCTAGAAGGGAATGAGCAGGACTTTACTAACAGGGGCTATATACGCGTAGTCATATGATAGCATTTGAAGGGGAGAGTAGACTCTTTTTACCCTCGACCCTACCAAGGTATTTGTGGAGCGATTTTTCGTGAAGCTTTATTCCAATGCATACATTACTATTTATATGTATGTAATAAAAACTGTTGATCGAATTAAGGTAATTAAGGAATCAAATGATAATAATGAAAAAGGAATACATAACTATTTATAGTAAATACAGGGCACAGATTAATAGTAACTTGACAAGTATTAAGGATAAGAAACAGTGTGATAATACGAACAAGTATTCACAAATGATTGATCACTGGGTGGTGACCAATGTCATGCGTGTCTAGTCCAGGGAGCACCAGTTCCCTCAAAGATTACAGGCACACCTTGCTGACAAAGCATCGACAGTACAGAAGAAAACTCTATTTGTGAATATGAAATTTAAAGGAGACACGGCTGCTGAAATCCTAAATAAACGGATTTCAAAATCGTTGAATAAAACATTCTACGCAGCTAAGCTCCGAATTGTTTTCTGTAACCGACCTACTATTTGGGGATGTGTTAAGGATAAACTTTCGCTTTGGGCTACATCAATTTGTATTTATAAATTTACTTGCTCATGTGAAGCACGTTACATAGGCCGCACAAAGCGATCGCTGTCCAAACGTATCTCGGAACACTATCTGGCTTGGCTGGTTGTTAAAAGGACAATGCAAAACAATTAATAGTTCGATACAGGAGCATTTAATTAACTGTGGACACATCGCTCCAAAGGACTCTGTAAAGTGTGATCGCTAAACGAACTCACCAACGATGATAAAGTGAAACGCCAACCACCACATTAACTTTCTTTGACCTTGTATGACTATATCTTGTTTATTCACCAATCGCAATTTATGTTCATTATAAAATAATATTTGCCTTGTTGACTCATTTTTCCTATCCTCGAGTTACTGTTCGGTATGTTAATTATGTCACTGTTTTTCTCTGTGTTAATAGACTGTACCGTTTGTTTTGTATACTTACTAAAGGTGTTAATATATGTTTTAGAAACAGATCAAGTTTATCAAACCAAATAGCTTACTTGTTCTGACTTTGGCTAGACCAAGACTCTGTGTTCGATGGTCTAGAGAATAGCTTAGAGTTACACCTGTAGGAAATTGCTTTCTACAGACTGTTCTTTTAAAGTAATCTACAAAATCAAAGGAATTGGATCGAAGGGTAGCCGAATCAATATTTTATGCACTGCTGAGGTATTGGCAATCCATGAACTCAAGCCTGAACTTTGAGTGCAGAAACGATTTGTCCAACCTCTTATCCTTCCTTGACCCTAAATTCCTTTGATGGGTATGTTTCTAGGTTGTTTTTTTTCTGCTTGTTTTTTTTGCACTTTTATTTGATTATTATTGAACTTTTCTTTTGAATAACTATTTTGCATTTTCAACTCGAATCAGTTATTATTATGACCTTTGTGTTTGTCGCTAATCTTCATATCTGTGTCAATTGGACTATTATCTGACCCATAAATTCTCTTCTTCCTTACCCCTTGATTAGTATGTAACCTGATTTGTTGTTTATTCTCGAATCCATTTTTGTAATGCAATCTTTTTTATCCTTCTATAGACATATATTTTCCATATAACTCATATGATGGAAAGAAAGTCAATATTCGATTGATTTACTCATTATGAGTTTTATTCAACATTACTTCTGTTTTGATTTTATGTAATTATTACTCAATGTAGTATTTATTTTCGACTAAGGTCGTCGTCGTCATCATAGTGTTTTGGGGCTAATAAAACTTCGCTTATATCAGTCTTGTGTTCTTACTTTCACGTCGTGGGAATTGTGGAGGTCCCTTCGTTCCGAGCATAAGTGGTCAGCGATTCCGACATAACAATCAGCAACGACCAGATACAAAGTAGCATTCGACTCACAATTCATAACAATAACTATATATACGAATGTACAGTTTAAGTAAATGGTTTCGTCAAAAAGAAAAATTTCTTCGCTGAATTCGTTTTTGGTATATTTAGTAGACGAGATGGGATTCTATAAAGAAACGACGAAGATGTACGATAGATCAATCGCCTTGATTCAGTTTATCTTATTTATTTATTTGAACACATAAATATTGGTACAAGGGGACACCAAATATATATGCGCCACACAAAACAATGATAATTTGAAGAGAAAGGAGAAAAAAAAGGAGAGAGAACAATAATGGGGGAAATGGAAAGGTACAATCAGAAGAAATCTTTCACTTAAGGAAGAGGCAACCACTTTTTATGAAGAAAGTAAAAGAAGGTTACAGCAGGATCGCCATTGGCTTCTATTCTTAGCCATATCTGATAACATCTCTAGCCACTGTGTTACACCGTCTCTTGGACCCAAGCCAGGGAGTCGTGAAGGACCAACAGAAGCTAGCCCTTTGCAGCTTTCTTTCATACCACGACACTATGTCATATACTGACCACCTCTCCGCTTTTTCCAACCAGTCCCAGAGTCGGCAAATAATGCACGACGAGAAATTCTCTGGGACAACATTCGTAGAACGTATCCAAGCCACCGAAGTCGGTGTTTCAACATGGTGACACCAATGGAATTATCGTCTCTGTGCCCGAACACACGATGCCGAACCTCTGCATTACTAACATGGTGTTGCCACTGAATGCCAGCAATCCTTCGGAGACAACGATGATCGAACACAGAGAGTCGTCTAACATCCTCAACTCGGAGAGGATGTTTATGTACCAAAAGATCACTATCAACTGGGTGTGTTAAGATAGAGCTATACTTCGTCATTGGTTAAATTACTTAGTGATTCGCCCTGTAATAACATCGTGGGAATTCTGTAAAGATATTGGTAAATTACTTAGCATTTACGCCACTCTACCCTTTCTTAGTTAATCCATATCACTTTATACACCATGTAAGTCTTCGACCAAACATTACATTATTATTATTTCTCACACTTCATGTTATCTATATTTATTCTGACTATTGATCATTTAGTTGTAATTGACACATAAACTGAGTTAAAGCAACACTACACACCAGACATTTCAACACGGACAACTTTATTTTATTTTATCTATAATAAGATGGTGGAGAAAATTTGTAACTCAGGTGGATGATTTTGATAGAGTTTTGTTCACTGAGCTGGATGGTTTGGTCGTAGGGCTTTCGTCGTTCTTCTGAACGACATCATCAGTACAGACTTCAGGTAGAAATGAAATGTTCGAATTTCTCCACACATAGTTCACAGCTGGTTCTGTAGACCTCGATCTTGATTGGTTACTGTTTGATCTAATTTATCAACCAATCAGAAAAATTATGGACAAACATAAGACAAAAAAAAATCAAACCAAAATAAAGAAGTAAACAATGACAAGTTTAAGGTCAAGATGTAAACTATGCAACTCAAAGCAAAAAATAGCAAATATATTACCTTTTTTGATATACACTACTATTAATACACAAATGACAATCTTCAAGATCAGTTGAAATGTAATCATTTTTGTTTACATTAGCCTATATAACAAAATAAAAAGAATGGGAAAATTTTTAACTTGAACGAAACAGGATAATATTGTCAACCTACCTGTTTATAAGATTCACATAAATCAACTTTATTAAGTGGACATTTTATACAATTAGGGTTTTTCGGTGTACAACAAACTGCACCTAATTCCATTAAAGCTTGATTAAAATCTCCAGGTCGATTAGGATCAACCAGCTTAGTTGTTAAATTCCATAAATATTCCATAGAAGTAGGTAATTGTACAGGGGAACCAATTTGACGTAAACGTGTTAGAACACGAATTACATTTCCATCTAAAGCAGGAGTACACTAAAGTGAAAATAACATTAAAAAAAAAACACTTGTACATAGGTACTGTTATCGAATTCACTGCTTTTATGAATAAAAAAACGTTAGACTAGTGGTTAAAAACAATTAACTATTAACTAATGGATAAATGTGTTGGTGAATGTAGTACACTTGGTTAGAGTTCATGCGATAACCGTAATCAGTGATTGAGGATATACGGTGAAATAACTCAGGGTCGATAACAATAGAATAGATATCAGCCAGTCAGAATGTAGAATCTGGTACGTATGTACATCGGTTCAAGTTGTCATACGTCGTTAGAACAGAAAAATTAAGTCGTCAGGTCAAATCCCAGAATACTAGAGGTAGTGACAGTATCAGTGGTAATAGGAAAGATTAAGCATCGAAGATACCGTTCGGAAAAAATATATAAATTAGCGAAATGAAAACAAAGAATAGTTATGAGGGATCTAGAATTTGGGAGAAGACAAAAGATGTATGCATGTGCTCCATTGCAAACGGTTTCGAGTCGTGTCATTCAGTTTCTAAACATTGATTATGATAATCATCCGAACACCAACAAGGTAGTTTATACCTATCAACATGGTTAAGTCTAACTGTCAGTGACTTCATGGACTGATATCACGTTTTGATTTGGTTGCTCCAAGCTTTTCTCCCATTTCAGCTACCGACTCTATCTAATCCTGAAGTGATATTTTACATTTGGAGGGAGAGAAACTCATGAGAAATATGTTTGGATTGTTGCGTAAGGTGGTCAGAAAATCGCATTTGTCGGTGTCTTCACCACAAAAATCTATATCATCTGCGTATCCTAAGTCAACAAGTGAATCTCGTGGTAGAAAATCGACCCCTCAGAAGTCAGACGATGAGAATGTTACTTTCAAAAGCTTGTCTAAGACAAAATTAAATAAAAATGGGGAGAGCGGATAACCCTGATGAACACCACTTGTAGTAAACACTTCCGGTGACAGTTCCCCATAAGCTTGACTCGACCAGAATTGCTCGAGTCGAGAGCCTGTACAAGGTTAGTGTACCTCTTTGATACGTCTTTCAATGACAGACACCGACACAGAACCTCAAGATCAACAGAGTTGAACGCCACCTTAAGGTCAAAGAATACAACTATAGTTGGACGCTAAAAACTGTGTTCCAGAACCTAGTGAAGAGCGAATATATGATCTATGTATCTACATCCACGTCTGGAACCAGACTAGTTTTCTTGGGTTTGATTTTTATGAGCCCAAGTTAAGCATCTGAGTATTATTGAAGCTAATATTTTAGATATTACATTAGCCAAACTGATCCTTTTGTGATTGTCACAAGTGGAATTTTATCGTTTCTTATAAACTATGACGATCTGCGATTGAGATCAGTCTGATAAGGTTGCATCCAGATCACAAATTCTAGCTAAGATCTCAGTTAATTTAATTGCTCAAACTGAATCACTATTCTTAAATATTTCTCGAGTTGACCCATCAAGCCCTGCTGCGCTTCTTCGTCTTATTTTGACTATAGCCCTTTTAGCCTTACAAATAGTTGTCGATTCGCCATTCAGTTTGCATTGACAATTACTTTTTCAAACTGTCGAGTCATAGCTTAGTGTTTTCCAGACAACTTGGAATAAAACTTCGCAAAGGCAAAAACTAACAACCAAAACAGTTGAATAAAAAACCAAGACGAATCGTGAATCACTAAGTTCAAAAAATGCAATGACGATAGATAGTACAGATGAAAAAACCCCAATGAGAACGATACCGCAATAAGAGTCAGAGGACTTACATCGGTTTGCTTGGAGATGGTGGGTAATTGGTGTGTGGCTGAAGGCCAGTTTAACTGTTCCCTTAAGTGGTTAGACCATCTGTTTAGTCTTTTGAACTGAAAGTGATTAATGGCCACACCTTTTTCCAAGATAGTTTCACTAACAGGGGGATTTTTTATACTCGCTTTTTTTAATGTCTGAGTAGTCGTCTATCATTACCTATCGCTGTTGCTTTTCCCACTTCTTTTGCTTTTGCTACCCAGTACTGCTAACGATCATTGAGTAGGCTTATCACCAATTTATGTTGAAGCTGCCTCCGCTCCTCAGTGTTCAGAGTCCGCCAGGACAAGCTTCCAAACACCCATCATTTTGGTAGACGCTAGAAAATTCACTGGTGGCTCTTAACCTTTCGGTTTTAGTTACTGCTGTTTCAATATCGTGTCAAGCTACCAAAGGAATGCCACTTACATGATTAACTAACTGCTGCTATATTTGTTCCTGGCCGTCAGACAAATCAAGAGCGGCAAAACATCAGGACCAGACAACATTCCAGCACTGAAAGTAGATGTAGCAGCAACTACAAAGCTACTCCACATTCTCTTCAGCAAGATTTGGGATGAAGAACAAGTACCAAAAGACTGGAAAGAAGTACACCTGATCATGATACCAAAGAAAGGCGATATCAGCGAGTGTGAGGACTACAGGGGCATCACTCTTCTCTCAACACCAGGAAAACGCTTCAACAGGGTATTGCTAAACAGAATGAAGGACTCCGTAGACACCCAAATTCGAGAACAACAGACAGGATTGCGTAAGGATCGATCGTGTACAGACCAAATCGCAACACCACGGATCATTGTGGAACAATCAATTGAATGGAATTCATCACTCTACATCAACTTCATTGACTATGAGAAAGCATTTGATAGAGTAGACAGAACAACACTATGGAAGCTCCTTCGACACTACAAAGTACCTGGGAATCCCTATAATGAATTAAACTGCAAAATCGTGCATGGAGGACAGTTGACAAAGTCGTTCGAAGTAAAGACCGGTGTCAGGCAAGGTTGTTTACTGTCACCCTTTCTCTTTCTCCTGGTGATCGACTGGATCATGAAGACATCAACATCTGAAGGGAAGCACGGGATACAGTGAATAGCTAGGATGCAATTGGATGATCTAGACTTTGCAGATGATCTGGCTCTTCTATCGCATACGCAACAACAAATGCAGGAGAAGACAACCAGTGTAGCTGCAGCCTCAGCAGCAATAGGTCTCAATATACACAAAGGGAAAAGCAAGATTCTTCGATACAACACAACATGTACCAATCCAATCACAATTGACGGAGAAGCTTTGGAAGATGTAAAAACCTTTACATATTTGGGCAGTATCATCGATGAACACGGTGGATCTGATGCAGATGTGAAGGCACGGATTGGCAAAGCAAGAGCAGCATATCTACAACTGAAGAATATCTGGAACTCAAAACAATTAGCAACCAACACCAAAGTCAGAATTTTTAATACAAATGTCAAGACAGTTCTACTGTATAGGGTGGAAACCTGGAGAACTACGAAAGCCATCATCCAGAAGATACAAGTGTTTATTAACAATTGTCTACACAAAATACTTAGGATCTGTTGGTCAGACACTATCAGAAACAAGCTGCTGTGGGAGAGAACAAACCAGATCGCAGCGAACGAAGAAATCAGGAAGAAGCGCTGGAAGTGAGTAGGACATGCATTGAGGAAAGCACCCAATTGCGTCACAAGACAAGCCCTCACTTGGAATCCTGAAGGCCAAGGGAAAAGAGAAAGACCAAATAACACATTATGCCGAGAAATGGAGACAGACATGAGAAAACTGAACAAAAATTGGACAGAACTGGAAAAGAACGCCCAGGACAGAGTGGGTTGGAGAATGTAGGTCGGCGACCTATGCTCCATTGGGGGGTAACAGGTGTAAGTGAGCAAAAATTTACTTGATATATGTTATATTAATTATCACATTCCAATTTACTAGCTATAATGAAAATGGTACTAATATAATAGTAATAACTTTGGACTTAATTCAGTATATAAAGCATTACCTGATTAAACGCAATACTTGCGATTGCTCCAGCTGTATAACGTCCAACACCAGGTATCGAATGCTTTAAAACCTCGGCAGATTGAGGGAAAATCCCATTAAATTCATTGACAATCTACAAAATGAGTCCGATTTAAAAAAAATTAACCTTCTTCGCTCCTTTATGTAGTAGGCGAGCTCTGGAATAATAACCTAATCCAGACCATAGAGAATTGACATCCTACAATACAATCATAACTCTAAGTAGGTAACTAATTAATATACATACATCTAACGAAGCCGATGCTAGTTGATCAACACTAGGCCATTTCTGTAATAATAGATATATGATTTAAAAAAACGGATCAAACTATCAAACAAACTTTCATCCATCGATCATAATAATCAATAACTGTTTTTACTTGAGTTTGTTGAAGCATAACTTCCGATACCCAAACTGAACACATACAAAAAAATATGGAACAAAAATAATCTAGAGAATGATTAAACATACCAGCGTAACCACGTAAATTGGGATCTGGATTCAAGGCCTGTATATATAATAAAATAATTTGAAGTATAAATAACAATTAAAATTCATACCATTCGACGCCATGGTAAATCACGTTTAGATTTGTCATACCAAAGTAGAAGAGATTCACGTAATTTCTCGATTTGATTTGATGTGAATGAATGAATAGAACTAGAGAGTTGTTCAATTTAAAACTATAAACAGTTGAACATACCACATAGTTGAACTTGAACGTTGTAAGAATTGGAATATCTATTAGCTGGGGGGGGGGAATGTACGAACACAATAAAATATTGGAGAACTTAGTTTAGTAAATATCAACTTGACAAGATATACACTGTAAAATTAGGATTAAGTTCCAAATAAAATTTATTTCGATTGTTGAGATCATGAGTCAATCTCCACAAGATCCCCTACTGATTATTTATAAGTCTAACATCAAATGGTAACAATTATAATATAAGCATCAGACTAACAATTATTCTAGTTGTATTCATGATATGTTTGATATTGTAGACTAATGAACTTAAAACTGCTGAATTCCAGAGATTTCAATTGACTCGAATTACTTCGCTCTGAGAAAATTAGTAATGTTATTAGCATTCTTAGTATAAACCCATAAACCTGCAAATTGTTGGATTTAATTAGTTCACTTGTAAAATACATGATATTAATATCTTAAACTTACATAAAACACAAACCTAGACAATTGAAATGATGATCGAGAATTATCAATACCAAAAAAAAACATTGAACAGTAAATGTGTTATGAGGCTAAAGATGATTTATATTCAAAGTTGTACATTATTTATTTATTATTTTAACACATAGGTATTGGTACAAGGAGGTACCAAATGCATATGCGCCACACGAATCTCAATTGATTTGTGTGAGGGCTGTGATACTGCCCGGATGCCCAAACCGAAGAAGGTGGTTTTCTTAGGGGGCCACACCTCCTTTGTGGAAATATTAGTTATCATTGTTTCTATTTAACATTATCATTGATCACACTCAAGTAGCACACAATCATTGGAGTATTTAAATTTCTCAATAAGCTTCAGAAAAATTTCATCATGGCTAATAATACTTCGACTGATAATTCTTAATCGTTTCTTGATTTAATTTTGCACTAGTCAGTACAGCATGTTAGCCCCCAAATGCCCTGGTATGGCCGAGAGTGGGGGGAGTCCGCTCCCCCTCTCGAAATGCTCTCATATGGCCACGCGTATACAGCCCCTGCCAGGGAAGTCCTACTCACTGCCTTCTCGCACCATGGGTGTTGTTTACGAAAATGAGAGGACGAAAAGCGAATGTCCAGCGCTTTAACCGGATCCCAAACCAATGGTGCACATGGGCTCCAGTATCCTGAGAGAGCAAATGGCGTGTGAACCAATCGTTGGTCACCGGCTACCATGGGACTGCATCTCCTCACGATGCTCCACTGCCTTGTGGATCAGATCTTCAGGTCAAAGGCTCGGGGTGTGGTCCCCTAAGAAAACCACCTGCTTCGGTTTGGGCACCCGAGCAGTATCACAGCCCTCACACATATCAAATGAGATCTGTGTGGCGCATATGTATTTGGTGCCTTCTTGTACCGATATCTATGTGTTAAAATAAATAATAGAAGTCCGAAATGTCACCAACTGTTTTTATACTTAAAATGTATATAATTTCACTTAGTCTAGCTGTATATATTTCATACAAACCACTCCCAAAACGTTTTTGTTATAAGATATATTTAATAGCTTTATACTATATACTACTGTGAAAGTGTGTTGTTTACAGATGAGACATATTACATTTAAAAATTATTTGATATTTCTTAGTTTCAATTACCTTTGCCACATGTTTACAAACTTCACAAACTAACTACAGTAACTACTTATAACAAGTCTATATTGTAATTCGTCGTATTCCTAACTATAGTTCCACAAATCGTCTCAACTTTTAAAAACATTTTTTGGCCAAGTTCAATATTTTTAAACTGTTATATTCCTCACCAACCAGCATGTTAACCTGACGTGTATATGCATTGCATTATATCTCTATGCATTTCAAATTCAACAATCATTTGAATCGCCTTTAACGTTTCTCACTAAACCCATCATAGCCATCATTGCTATACGTATTTAGGTTAATCAATTGCTCTATCATATTAGTTGCATAAATAGATGAACATAGTTTAGATAATAGTCACCGAATTTAGGTACTATCATACTGCACTAGTATAATAACTAAACTATCAGGTAGTTGTTGGTCACACAACTAATTTACCTGGTACATTATGCTCAATCTAATATCATTAAGTAACAACTGGTTTAACAATTCACAGCTACTGCTCCGAAGACAATTATGGTTGAAAAGAATCAAACTCATTTATTAGATACTTGTGTGAGCCACACTCTAGGTGTGAGGCCTAATGATACTACCAAGTTATTCAAACTAAAGTTCGCGAGGCGGAGGACTTCACGATTGGAAGTTGAACGTCTTGACATAAGGTTTGAGGTGCATATCTGGTTTTAACAGAACAGTAATCAGTAGAATCCGACAATACAGTCGAAAGCGAGCCAATTATGATTGCGTTGCCATATGCTCATACACGACAGATAGCTCAATTCATGAGCTTTGGTTTATGTCGACAGCGTTTACTATCAGAGCGAGCGTTTATCTTGTTGTGCTAGTGAGGTGTGGCAACTTGGACCGATGCATATATGTGCCTGGTCCTACGTCATAGCTGACTGGGTACGACGCTCTTAAGACGGAAAATAGCTGTCCGAAATAAATCACCCATAACCAAATAATGAGTAGTTACTAATTATAGAACAGCTTAGAAGCTATTCTATCAATTATTCAAAGACCTTTTGATCTAATATATACTAATGAATGACATGCAAAAAATTGCCCCCGAATATCCTAGTATGGACGAAGGTGGAGAGTCCACTCTTCCCTCAAATGCTTTCATATGACGTTTATATAGTCACTGTGAGTACAGCCTTACTCATTCTCTTCTAGAGGAACGGGTGTTGATTCCAAAATTGTAAGGACCATAAGCAAGCATTCAGCTCTTAAACCAGATTGGTGGGTACAGACGACCCATCTAGAAACATTGGAAAACCCTGATTTCAACCCTATGGTGAAGTCGGTCTTTCCTCCTTTGGTTGGTGTTAGTCAACTGTTACGGAGCTCACTTGACGTGGCTTCACATGAATTTGTTTGTCGACAGAGCGAGTACTATTCGATGTGTCCCGACCTCGTACGCTAATACACTTTCTAGCAGTATTTACCATTGAAATGGCTTCTGCTAACCACCTGTTTGCGTCCGAGATGCACTGCTGACAAAACCACACGCAACCGTTTTTTACCAAATTGTTTGAAAGCCACAGACATTAGATTCGTGCAAACTTCGTGGTACCAGTCTTTGAGGTCGTTGCACCGCATGTCGCTTTTAACATGGTATCGACAGCACGAGCGTTAGCAATTGCTTTTCTTGCACTGTCCAGCCATCAAACAGATGTTTTCAAAAAGAAACTAGATACAATAACACCCAGAAACAAATGTAATTTGTGACCAAAAAAGTGAAAAACTAAATTGTTAGGACCAAAAGTTCTAAGAAGTACAATAGAAGGCTGTAGGGTATTATGCGCCATTCGTAGATCTTTTCAGTATTCTGATGAAGAAATGTTTAGATTATTATACCCTAATTTTGTGAGACCGCATTTGGAATATGGAATTCAAGCAGCGAGTCCTTGTTTAGGTATGAGGCACATAACCTGGAACGAGTCCAACAACGAGGGGCTAAAATGGTAAAAGGTTTCTTTGGCCTATCTTATGAAGACAGAGACACCTTAACTTATTTCCGTTATCTTACTGTAGAATACGAGGTGATCTAATATTGACTTATCGTATAATGAACGATGACCTTGGTATTAATGTCTTATCTTTTCCTTCCGTCTAGGACTGACCATTCGAAGGAAGTTCAGAAACCGAAATCAGATTGTCTACGTCTGGAGTTTCGTTTCTCGTACTGAGTAGAGAATTGTTGGAATTCTCTGCTAGAAGATGTAATATCAGTATCTTCTGTCGACGTCTACAATGTAACAAACTGCAAGGATTAGTATGGGCCAATAGACCTATCCTTATCACTGAAGACTGAAACAAAATTTAGAAAACAATCAACTCAAAGCGACTATAGAAAAACTTCACTTGGATAAAAGATACGTAGATGATATCTTTATCGTTTGTGACAACAAATATGACTTGAATCATCTTCTGAAGACATTTAATAATTGTCACTTAACAATAAAATTCACATTAGAAGTTGAAAACAAACAGAATATTCACTTTATTGACGTGGGAATGACAAGAAAGAAAGATGGTACTGTAAAAAGATTTATCTACAGGAAACCTATGTGGAATGGCCAACTATCAAGTTTCTACAGATGGGCCCCCATTAGTCAAAAAAGGAACATAATAACAACACTTGCAACAAGAATACGACGAATCTGTAGTCACAAAGTTATAGGTGAAGAATTGCACCACTTGAAGATACTTATTAAAAGCGGATATCCTTCGATATTCATCGATAAGAACATAAAGCCGAAAGCATAGATAACTACAGTAGCAAAGAAAACTTTGTACACAAACATCGAATTCAAGGGTGACAGCCACACACATCCTAAAGAGGAGAATTTCCGATTCTTTAAAAAGAACATTCCCCGCAGCAACATTGCAAATAATATTCTCCAGCCGATCAATGTTCACCAATACTCTTAAAGATAAATCATCGCATCTGACCAACTCAATGTGCATTTATCAATTTACTTGCTCATGTAAAGCTAGGCATATAGGTCGTTTGATGCGTACTTTATCCAAAAATTCGAGGACATTGTCCGGTATAGGTAAAAAGAGGAGGAAGCAGCACAATAAAAAGCTCAGTAATTGAACACCTTGTGAACACAGGTCACAGACACTCTGCGTTTAAAGTTATCTACAAGGTAAGCAGAAGTCTCCCAAAAACAATTAGACTGCATCTTCTTTACATTGCCGAAGCATTAGCCATACATCTGGAAAAACCAGAATTGTGTGTGCAAAAACGACTGGTACAACCCCTTCTTCTATCATGGTCCTGATGACTTATATTTATTTTTATTCTTAATTTTTCTCTTTCTTCATACTCTTTTTCTTTTATAGCCATCTGCTATACCCTTCATATTCCCCTT